TCATAATCACTCTCTCATACTTAGTATGGAATCTAAAAAGTATGACGAGTCCGACTATTTTTTGGCAAACAGGAACTCTCAAACCACTACTCCTACTAGGTGAACACCCTTTGAGTAAATAGCCAAGCAACACTTGCCGAATCAAGGGGACCATCCGGCCTCCGCCGCCTGGTTACTCTACTACTCAAACAAAAGTGGCGGCGCCTGGTAAATCCGCATGGGTAACCAGTCGTTCCCCCAGGTATGGAACCAAAAAGTTCGAGAGTCGACTGTTTTTTGGCAAACAAGGGCCCTAGAACACTATTCCTACTTGATCAAACTAGAATTACATGTGGCTATATCCATAGACACAATTAATTCAAATAGGCGGCTCGATAACAAGCAGCCTGTTCCCTTCAAACTTGGTAAAAGAAATCAAAACAGAAATCAGGCGTCCAACCACCTAGGTAACGCCCAAACAAAGAATCCGACCTAAGTTAAGGCAAGCCTATATAGTTGAACTAGTCGGCACCAAGCCACTAAGACTAATAAGGCGACCCATAAATATTAATTTACAAAGCAAAGGTTAGAAGACCTAATGTATTTGCTAAAAAATGCGGTCCGACGGGGTTCATGGCCGACTAGTCGCCAATACTGGAACAAAGACAACAAGTCGCCTAGGGGCATAAGGAGTCGGCACCATCAGTAGTCGGCACCTGATAAACCTCCATCTTAGCCTACTATACCTCGCAAAAATTTTATCATTTCAAGACAAACAAATAACAAGCTAATACAGTCGGTATGGTATTTAAGCGGATATCAAGGATGCTCTATACTTGACAAAAATAAGCATAAACAAGATGGAGAATCATTGATCAAAGACGACCGAACAGTCGCTAAATTAATATTCACAGCCGACCATAAAAACCGGCAAAATAGTCATAAGCCCCGGCCCCCTGGCTGGGTAAAGATGATACAAGAACAAACGGCACACAAGCCGATGAAAAGTTTGAAGAATAAAAAGCTTTAAACATTAGGAGGGGCTTCGGTCTCAACTGCCAGCTGATCGAGCTCAATTATGGGCACTTGATCCTTCAAGGCATCCTCTTTGTTTAGCTCGTTTTCAGGGGCAGGATCCTTAGAAGCATCCGCCTTCGTTGGTTGGTCTGCCATCTCCTCTTCCTCCTCATCCGAGTTGGAGCTGGCCGCCTCCTCCTCTCTTTCATCCTCTTCAGCCGCCTGCTGCATGATTTTTCTATTGTACTCTTCAGTACAGGCGGTGAACTTGGAATCCCATTGGGCATAGTCAGATTTTTGGGAAGAGGGTCGACCAGGTCAACTTCATAATATTGGTCGAGTCCTCCATCATGGCCTGAGCTAAAGCCAGCTTCTCGGTCTTAGCCTTGGCATTAAGCTCTTGAGTGATGGCCGCCTCCTGCTTCTCTAAGCGCTCCTTAACCTTGTCCAAAGACTTCTAGAGACCTTCAGCTTTATGGGCAATATTCTTAAGTGGCTGCAATTCGTCCCGGAGGCTTTTGACTTTCTTCTCCAGCTCTTGGTTCTGTTTTTTGACCACCTCCAACTCATCTTTGATCGTCGAAGTGGCAAGCGCCTGATAATAAAGAATATCAGTTGTCAAAAGTTCATTTTGGGCAATCTGAAACATTGCCTTGTCTAAGTTAGAGGCGACCATAGCTTTGACAGCTTTTACCTCTTTGTTTTTTGCGCTAATCGGCCTACAGAGGCCGTGTACACGAAGCATAGTCTGAAAAAGAAAAGCAGGCGTCATATTTGCAAAAATAGGCGGTAGGCAAAGTCATTCAACATTTCAAAAAAGCTAAGCCTACCTCGAAGAGAAGCCCCATGATTCCGTCAAGGTCAAGGGTGCCGACTCCCCTGACCGCATCCCTCTCCTCTAGAGGGATGGCTTTTACCATAGACTTGGCCATGTGGACCAAGTCTGGTTCTTGATGGCCGCTTGTATTCAGAAACGAAAAGCTAGAACAAAAGAAAAATATCGAAGAAAGAAGTTAAACAGGGGCCGAGGGAGCCGGATTATACCTCTTGGAGGCCGGCTGTCCCTTGGGACTTGCGCCCCTTTACCCCCAGTTGTCTGTGGAGTGCGCGGCTGTTTTTCAACCGCCTACTTCTTGGAGGAGCCAGGCGTACTCCCAGCTGTCTGTTTTCGAACCTTTGAGTCCGGCTGCTGAGAGGAAGAGGGTTTGGATGAGCCCGCCTGCAAAAACACAGAAAGTTAATACTGGCAAAAAAGAGGATTTCAAGGAAAAACTCGAAAGCTCAGAACTCACCTTGGGCGCCTCCTTGGCAGGAGAATCAGATGATGGCCGCTTGAGGCTCATAATGGAGGTCCGCAGAAGGGCGGCCGCCTTCTTGGATGCGGAAATATGGTCCATAGCTTTGGCTGCAAATAGGCACAGCAAAGAGTTAGAAAAACTTAAAATAAATCAAATGATGCATATAGAAGCACAAGGGGCCGGCTACCTCTGGGGGCCCGACTGCTTAGGCCACAGGTGGCCAAAAAATACTCGTCATAAAGCCATTTAAATTTGGGGACGCAGTTTAAAGGCACCTGCTCCCGTACCCCGGTAGTAGAGTTGGCCCTAATCTCTACTTTGAAGAGTCCTCGGTCAAGGATCTCTTCCCTTGCTTGACGAGGAACAGGCAGCATGCTAGGGCCGCCTGCAAGAAGAGGCGGATCCCTATTCCACCTGTTGTATCGCTTGTTCAGAAGTTTACTAGGACTGGCGACGAGGAAGAAAGTGTTTCTCCAATCTTTCCACTTATTTTCCTTCCCCCTAGTCATCAAATAGCCCTTATGGCTTGTTATTTGGTACCAGCCGGTACCGCTCGCTTTGGGGGTCTGGCTTAAATAATTCATATGGGTGAACGCCTCGAAATTGGGGTCCACCCCATGCATTTCACATCCGGCTACATAGCCAAGGATGTTGAACTAAGAATTTGGAGCTAACTGCCAAAGCCCCACCTCGTACCTGTCGAGGATTTGTTGAACTGCCGGATGTAGGGGAAATCGGAGTCCAGCCTTAATGGCCGCCTCATAGCAGCCAAAACAGGCGTCCCTGTAACTAGACCCCGCGGGCCAGACGACTGTATCTTCAGCATCCGGCACAAATAAATTAAAATCCGGACCCATCACATGGTCCGTTAGAAAAGTCCATATTTGCTCATTCATGGCCTTGATTCGACCTTTTGGGACGTGACAGTAATAAGGGGTGTTTAACTCCCTATGGGAGACGGACGGTTCTGCCCAATCGTCCCCTTTTTCGGCTGTATGAGATAATCTCGCCTCATGTAAGAGAGAATGTCTTTCTTCCGAACTTGGAGAAAGACGGCTTGAAGAGCTGGATTCGGACTCACTATCGGAAGAGTCCGACTCCCCTCTCCCTGAGGGGGCCGACCCCTCTTCTTCAGAAGGGGCCGACTGCTGATCAGCTAAGTTAACAAAAGCATTAGAAGGGGCCACCTTAAAACCTTTCTCAGAGCCCCCTGTGACAGAGTCACCTGGGGTAACAACGGCATCAGGCGGCCTGTCTGATAGCTCGCTCGGTGGCACATAGAAGGAAGAGCCGTTTGAGTTGGCGTATCTGGCCGTCCTTTTAGTCCAGGCCATAGTGTCCTGCACAGACACAGAGACAGTCGGACTTTGTATAAAGGGCGAAGAGTGGTCCACAAAGGGGCAGGCGGCACTCCTAGTCCTAGATTCAGCCGTCCCCGGTGACCGACTGATCACTAACCTAGGTCGTGCTGGGTGCTTTTGAGGTACCATATTTCACATAAAAAGAAAAGAAAACACAAGAGAACAAACGGTTACCTGAGTCTTAAGAATTGCTGAAGAAGGAAGTAGAGAAAGCGGTCGTCCGAAAAAACCAGTCGGCTTGTCAAAGATAGTTGGCAGGTTAAAACTTATCCAAAGTACCAGAGCTCTAGTTCTCCGAGAGTTCTCTTTCAGAAAATTTGCAAAAGTGTGAACAAAAGACTTTCGGTCAAGGCCCTTATATAGGGCAAAATGAGAATGCGAAGGGTCACTTCCAAATTTGAAAATAGGCGGGAAAAACTCTCGGCCTATCACAGGCCGACACCTGTAGCAGGCCGTCGCTTGTTACAGGCCGACACCTGTCACAAGTGACATGTGACCAGTCACGTGCCACCTGTGAGGGGAAAATAATTAGGGGATTTTCCCCGCCCAATCACAATCTGCCACGTGTTAGGCAGTAATCAGTCCAACATGGACCAATTGCGCCACGCCACGTGGCCTGCTATCTGCCAACCTGGAAAACGGTCATCACAGGTCCGATTCCCGAGGAAAGCCCAATCAGACCTAGGTTTACCAATTAACCTAGTATTGGGTACACATCCCAAGGCTATAAATACAATAAATTAGTCTTCAATAAAGGGATTCAGAATTAATTACCCTTGCCAAGAGAAGCCTAAACACACGTGCATACTAATCGCTAGACCAAACTTAGCATTATTTGCATTTCCTGACCACTCCTCTCCCTAGAGGAACCAGATCACCCTTTTACTTTCCGCACCTTTTTACTCCATCTACAAATACTAACTTGATCGTCGGAGGCGGAGCTCCCACCACCCGGAGTCTCCGTTGTTTTACAGGTACAAGCGCACGGATCCAGTCTCGCAATTGTAACTCTCCCGCAGGACACCAGAAAACCCCGAAACAATAATAATAATAATAATAATAATAGTAATAGTAATAATAATCATAACAATAATAATTAAACATTAATATTGATTAACATTAAAAGTAGAATATTGAAATAATTAAAATAAGTTCAAATCAGAAAAAATAAGTTCAAATAAGTTCAGATCAGAAAAAATAAGTTCAGATCAGATCAGATCAGAAAATATAAATTCAGATCAGATCAGATAAAAAAATATAAGTTCAAATTAAAAAATATAAGTTCAGATCAGATCAGATCAGCTTAAATCATGTGAATTAAACAAAGCCTTAGTCCTAAAAACCATTGTAAAATTCCGCAGGGTTTAGGAGCTGGAACTTGAAAACAACGAAGGGTTGCAAACTAGAGCAACAGGGTTTTAAGATTCACAAATCACTTGAGATACTCTTGTACACTTTCTACTACTGCATTCAAAAAATCATGAAGCTTTTTCAATCAATCAATGGTATAATTCTACTCTTCTCTATTTCCATTTCTTTCAAAACCCAATAAAACCCAGTAAGATATCTTTCTATTTATCCTAATTTCATTCATTTTGGCAGGGCATGGTAGAATTTTTCTGCGGTCATTGGGTCGGCGTTACTATGCTGCTCAACCTGAGGAATATGTTAGAAGAAATTACGCCAACAATGTTTCTGAGTACAATACTGTTGTGGGTTCTGTCACTGCTCAGCGCAGGTAATTCAATTGAAATCCTTTTTTTTTTTTTTTGTTAATTTGTGGGATATTTTTGTTAATTTGTAGGATTATTTTGTTATTTTGTAGTAATTGGAATGATGGTTTTTGGGTTATTTGCAGGCATTTCTTGTTAAGGGATGTTTATGATGATATGATGATTGATGGAGTTCAGCCTTCGAGAGATACATTTCATCCTTTGATTGCCGGAACGATGAAAGGTGCTCGGTTACAGGATGCTTTCTTCTTTAGAGATGAAATGAAAGCAATGGGTTTGCTACCTGATGTATGTATTATTGAATTTTATACTTTTTTATGTTAATTTGGTACTGTTACTTTTATGCTACTATTGTTATGTTTGTTCTTTTAATTATTTCTGTGTGTTGCATGAATGGTTTGTGTTTATACTGAAGCTTTGGTCGCTTGTAAATTTCGTTATCTAGTATATTGTTGCCCTCATGTAATTAACCATCTTAGTGGGTGGATAAAAATTGAGGGTTGTGGGGCTGTTGGTAAAAGTTGTAAAAATGACATTGGTAAGTATATAGATTTCTCAATGTTGTGGGAACAACTTGGTGAGGGGAGGGGGGGGGGGTGGTGGTGGACTTTAAACATGATGCATAATGCTGGGTTAAGCTTTAACATGTTGCCCTTCCCTTAGTAATTTTGATTTTCTTGTGCCTTCTTTCTGTCAAGGCTAGTAATTGAACATGAGATGATTTGTGTTTAGTGATAACATGTGTGTACTACATTTTAATGTTTAAGAAGTACTCTGATCATATTATATATATGCTACCACCTCATACACCTAAGGAAAAGTGAAAATTCCTTACCCTCTATAACCTAGAGCATTTTACATATGTTCATACTTATGAAGTTTAGTATACAATTTTGTCCAATGCAGATCTAGAAGTTGCTAACTAGTTACTTGTCATTTTGATCTGAATTGTAAGATTTTTAGTTTTAATGACTAGTCAATCTTAACAAGTCAGTGTCATTTGTATACAATAGAGATTGCAAATGAAGAAAGAAAGTCTAATTGTTAGCTCATGTAGTCATGTATCATGTTTGTTCCGAATTGTAAATCAGGTCGAATTTTAAGGTCTTCTTTTACTGTCTACAGTTGATGTTTTAGATTCCACCTGTAAAGGCAGGTTTGAATTTTAAATAGAAGGGGAAAATTCGGGTGTTAAAATTTCTTGATTTTATCAGAGTGGAATGAGGGAGATATTTACACAAGTCCATTACCCCGATAATGAGGATTACCATGACCCATCAGGAGGGAGGGAGAGAGGGAGAGAGAGAGAGAGAGAGGGAGGAGGGAGGGAGGGAGGGAGGGAGAGAGAGAGAGAGAGAGAGAGAGAGAGAGAGAGAGAGAGAGAGAGAGAGAGAGAGAGAGAGAGAGAGAGAGAGAGAGAGAGAGAGAGAGAGAGAGAGAGAGAGAGAGAGAGAGAGAGAGAGAGAGAGAGAGAGAGAGAGAGAGAGAGAGAGAGAGAGAGAGAGAGAGAGAGAGAGAGAGAGAGAGAGAGAGAGAGAGAGAGAGAGAGAGAGAGAGAGAGAGAGAGAGAGAGAGAGAGAGAGAGAGAGAGAGAGAGAGAGAGAGAGAGAGAGAGAGAGAGAGAGAGAGAGAGAGAGAGAGAGAGAGAGAGAGAGAGAGAGAGAGAGAGAGAGAGAGAGAGAGAGAGAGAGAGAGAGAGAGAGAGAGAGAGAGAGAGAGAGAGGAGAGAGAGAGAGAGCAGAACATGCGTGGCTTTTTTGGTTTATGCGAGGCGATTTCTGTGAGGTGCACCTAGGCTCACTGATGCACATAACAGTTTTTCCTTTTCTCTTTTTTTTTTTTTTTTTTTTTTTTTTTTTTGAAACGTTATTATTTTATTTAGTGTTTTGTCATTTTTTAATAAGTGCCCCTCATTTTCATGAGGTGTGCCTAAGGCGCAGGTAAATTCGTATCACCTTTAGCCTATCTATACATCGATTCCTATTGCTATTAATTTTACCACCTACAATATTAATTGGTGGCAAAGTTTATTTGCACCTAATGGCCTCTGATGCATTGTAATTTCTTTGTAGGTGACTCTCTACAATTTCTTGATTTCCGTTTGTGGAAAATGCAAGAGATCAGAACATGCAATTCAAGTAAGTTGTCCTTATGGATGTGGTCTTTGCTATGAATCTATGGGTTGTGCTACACGATTACTTATACCTGTGAATGTCAGTTAACATCTCATGTTCAGTGACATGTGTTTTCTCTGATTGAAGATATTGGAGGAGATGAAGAGAAATGAAGTGAAACCAACTGGACAAACCTTCATCTGTCTGCTTAATGCATGTGCCGCTACAGGAAAACTAGATCGAGTGTATGTGTATCTGTTTTTAAATAAGCAACCCCTTTTCTATTCTCTTGATTTTTTTATTGCACAGTTCCCCACAACCAGTGGAAGGCGTATTTATCAATTTGTTTTCAAATTGTATATTTCAAATGCTGGATGTATTGTTACTACATATTACAAACCCAATGATTTAGATTATTTTCTGAATTTTTATTCTAATGTACTGCTGGCTGATATGACAAGAACTGGAAGGCAAATGCTATAATATACTGAGTATCATATTGCTAATAAAATCTATCTTTTAAGTGCCTTGCCTACTTCATTTCTAGGTGCTATTGTCTGCCAATGTTGTGATGTGTATGTTTAACCAGCTAGTTTATATATAGGTATGCTATTGTCCGTGATATGACTGCAGCTGGGCTTGGATTGAACAAGTTTTGTTATGCTGGTCTTATTTCTGCCCATAAGAACAGGGTACCTGTGGCTGATGATACAGCTGCAAAAGTATGTACCTGCAAGCCTATATGCTTTGATAAAAATATTGTATAGTTAGTTAGTTTTGTCCTTAATCACCATTCTCCGTCCATTTGAAAGATTATTGAGCTGGTTGAGCAGTCTAAGGGATGGTCCTCACCAGAACAGATGGGACCTACAGCTGAGAACGTAATGATGGGTGTTTTTCCTGAAGACTTGTATAACCTCCCCACTGCAGAATATTTCAATAGACGTGGTGGGTTTGTGGATAAGAGGCTAACTGTTTATCATGCGGCATCTCATGCTCTAGCGGATCTTCGCAATGTAGAGGTAAATCTTTTTTAAGTTTCATTATTGTCATTAGTTGTTCCAAATATGATATACTTCTGCTTCTCTAAAATTACAACACTTTCCTAATAATTGCAACAATTACTATTGTGGTTACCTTTATTACTTTTCAATTTACCTTACATTGCTTGGCTCCTTTTCTCTCTCCTCTTCTTCTTTAAAATATACTTCTCACTTTTTACCTGTTGTGTTCTCTCACCTCTTGCCTTAATTAATGTGCCACAACCAAATCGAGGTAGTATTTTTTTTTTTTTAACTTTTGTAATCTACCCCTAACTAAATAATACTTTCTCCGTTTCTAATTAGTAGACATATTTTGACTTTGACGCTATCTAGATAAGTTTCTTTGACTTGTTTTTTGTGATTTATAGCTGAATAAAAACATAGCAATGTGGAGTCTTATTGGATTTACATTTTATAATTTTGGCGTGTTGATAATTGAAGATATTAATGTTTGAAATCATTTATTGGCAAACGTGCTTAAAGAAACGCCTCAACTATTATGAAATAGAAAAAGTATAAGTTATCCATAATATTAGAGTTTGTGTACACCCTTACTAGACTAGAGTACTAGATATACTCAATTCTTACTTAAAGGAGATATGATTCTAGACATTCACCAAATTGTGAAAAGTAGAATAAAGATTCTTGCCTTAATCCTCTAGAACCCCTATCTGCTTTGTAAAATATCCGGTCACTAATATAAAGAAAAAAAGACTGAAGTACCCCTCATCCACCATCTTCATTAAATAGGATATCACTCTTAATCTAAGACCGTTGATGAAACTCTTACTCCCTCTGTCCTTAATTTCTTGCCCCATATACTAAAAAATTATGTCTCTAAAAGCTTTCTCCATACCTTAACAGATATAGTCCCACTTCCAACCTCTCTCCTTATTAGTACTTGTGCTCACCAATGTGCGCAAATTTGCACTTGCTTCTTAAAACTGAAGTGGACTATTTGGAGCAATCTTGTAGGAACGGAGGGAGTATTATGTTATCATACTTCCATTCCAAGATAGTTGCATCTCTTCACTTTTTTAGAAGTTTCAAACTAGTTGCAACATCACTTTATTTGGTTAATGGGTGCTCTCTATCTCTCCCATATCGGTCCCGTTTTTATTCTATCATCATCATACGGACTCCTAAAAATTGTGCCTCCACCCAATTATTAAATTTAAAAATCCAACTTGAAGATGGTGTCCCTTTTATCCCCCCTTCTAACATGATTAACCTCAATTGCTATATATATAGGTTTGGCATCTGAGGTTTATCTCCCCTTTGCATAAGAATGTATTAGAGAGCAGTATACCTTATTGGTTTTATAGGAATCCTGGGACCATAATTAGATCATTTCAATATTTTTAACAAGATTTATGTGCCTGAAGAAATTAATGTTGCTACTATAAGCTTTTTTCAGTAAAATAATATATCTTCTTATGCTCAATTATTTCTGAACTTTGTCTTCTTGTACCTCTTTGCAACATGTATATAACATCCTTATCAGTGCGTTTTCATTTACTTTCATATATATTGACACCAAACTTTTGTGCTAAGAAAAATTTTGGGATGGGAGGGAAATGAAAAGAGCAGATAGTTGTTCATTGTGAAGCAGAATATAGTAATGAGGCTGAGTCTTTGCATCAACTCTTTGTACTAGATGTATTAATGGACAACTTTAGAAAATATGAGACTATTTTCTAATTATAAATCTCTTGAGAGGAGAGATACAGCCATTACCTTTATTTTAATGGTATTACAATGTTTTTGGCAGGCAATGGAAACTCTTCTAAGGATGCTTGAACGAGATAACAACCGTCCTGATGCTTTTACAACCATGCAGGTTATGAGGTAAGAATTGTGCTATAGCTTATGTAATGAAATGGTACATTTACAACTGGTGTTCATCAGATGTCCAAGTTTTAACTCGAGAGAATTGTCTATTGACCTAAATATTGTTAGCCTTTTTCATTTTCTTTTGTTGTATGATTTCTTTTTTTCTCAGCGGGGATGGCTAGTAGGTTTTTTTTACTCACTAGAATCTTATTTCTCATAGTAGTTGTGATACCAAATAAAATAATTGTGTAGTGATTCATCAAGCTATTTTCTTACTTATGTTCTACACGAATAGTGTTGACCTTAAGATGATAATGAATATCTTAGGATGATGACTAATTGTCTGTAAATTCATCTTGTAGTGATTTATCAAGTCTTTATTTTATTTTTTCCGTATACTGTACACTAAAAGCGTTACTTTAAGATGATAATGAGCATCATGAGAACACATCCAGGCTCGGGTACGTTTTATGATGATAATTAATTTAAGATTCATGTAATTGCATGATTTTGAAGGCCTTTATGACCCTAACAATTGATCTTGCTATGCAGCTTATTCATGATGAACATTGTCTTTATATCTGTAGATGTTCTACCTCCATTTTGCTGAGTTCAATTCAGTTACTTTAGCTACATCAGCCAAGAAAAAGTAGAAATGGGGATCATGCATGTGACTACTTTTGCTTTAAAGAGGAGAAAGATGGAGTAAGGAATTTATTTAATATAATTGGGCCCTACAAAGTGGTGTTGTAGTTGATAACAAATGAATAAAAGGTTGTCATAAAAGGAATAAAGTGAAAGTGGGTAGAACTTAGAAAACAGATGAAAACGGAAAGTGAGTAGAACTTATTAGGAAAACGGAAGGAGTATACATATACGAAGAAATAATTTATACTTGTGAGAATATATAATTAAATTATAACTTCTGGTTGAATGTTCTGATTACTACATTGCTTGTGCAAATCTGCCTTTTCTGAGGTTAACCAGTGCTCAGAATCCGAGGAATTTTGTATTGAAGATATATGCATTTCGAGTTCAACTATATTTACCTAATTATCTTGTGGTAAGAAATATTCTGACCAACAAGTATCAAGTCGACATTTAAAATACAACTGCTATTGACCAGAATGTGGCAAGACTTTTGTTTAGGTATGGTTGAAATTCATGTTCTAAGAAATCATTCTGCAATGTTCTGTTGTCACTGTTGAGCCACCTACTCAGAGTCATTGGCCTCATTGTTGTTCTTATTGTTGATTCTTCATCATGCTGGTTAAGTTTGTTGTAATGAAGGGAGAACACATTAATGGTAATATTGAGGAGAAAAACTCATGTTCATTTAATAAAGAAACACATTTACTCTTTTTTTAAAGTACTCAATGATTGTCATTGGTTAGTGTTTATGTATATTAGGGAAGCTTATCCTGTTGAAATCTTATATAGGCTTCCGTATTCATTGGCTGACCCTTAGTAGGTGGCTCAGGCAATAGTTCATTCTAGCTTGTTTGAGATTTTATCCCACACCAGGGAATAGACTACTATTCTGATGCTTAATTTATAGTCACGCCAGATGCTTTCCTGCAATGCTTTTCTTTCGTCATTATGTGATCTGCTATTTTGTTCAGTTCTTGTTACCCAATTATATTTGTGATGCCTATTTATTTTCTTTGATTGGAATCAACTGAACAGATGCTACTTGCATGCGGGGGATCTTGATCGTGGTTACCAAGTATTTGAGGAGTTCATGAATTCTGGGAGGCCACCATATGTTGAATTATATGTGGTATGTGCTCCAACAAATGACCATATGGCGTCTTATATTATTCAACTGCACAAGATATGTTAACAAATTATTATTAATATAGTCTTCAATAATGTGGGGATTTTTTTTTTTTTTATTGATAATGAGAGTAATTAGGTTTTGGGTTGCTTGTAATGGTACATAAAATCTTAGTTTCTAGAGTATGCTGTTGATATGTTTATTTTTAAGTTTTGATATGGTTAATATGAAGTGCTACCTAGTGATGAGTAACAGTACCGGGACTGGAATGTAGATGATGGTTAGTGTATGCCTTTCTTTTGGGATTTGGGTGTTTGGGGAGGGGGGGGGGTGGTTGGTGGGCTAAGAGAGAGTAGGTATATGGTTGTGCTCATGAATAGTATTAGAATGTAATACAATTTCATATTTATATACTGCTACTCTTGATTGTTCTGTGTTGATTTCAGACTCTTGTTGAGGGAGCCATGGTGGGCTATACCCCTAAGGGTATGCAAATAGCCCAGGATGCCCTGGTATGTCACCTAGTTCTGAAACCCTGTATGAGTTGATCTTCCTTTCTTATAAGTCTTATGGTTATAATGCTTTATTTATTTGCTACAGGTGAATATGACCTCGAAAAACGTTTTCTTGAATCCTAGAATGGCTAGTGATCTCCTCCTCATTGCAGCTGGTGAAAAGGTACTTTATTGTGTACGGTACCTACAATAACTTTGTGTGTGTTCTGTAGGGTTCCAACACTTCTGTATATATATGAATCGGTTTTTGAATGTTGCAGACTGGTGGATATACCACAGCTAATTATTTGTGGGATCTGATGCAAGCTAGGAACGTTGTTCCTTCTCAGCCTGCTGTGGAAGCGTACTTTGATGGTTTAAGAGTAAGTCAATTGCCCTTGCATACAGTCATACCCTTGCTTGCGTGTTCTTAATGCTATTGTTCATTTTCCTTTTGTAGTGATATTCTTTTTCAAATTTTTAATTGCATATCTTTGACCAACAATATCTTTATTATGTACAATAAAATTTGAAAAATGTATTTTAAAACTATACCAAGACCAATCTATCAGAATCCCACGTGAATTTGTTTCTTATGTATATCAATGAATGATCATGATCACAATTAATCTCTTAAAATAGAAATTTCCGAATGGCGCAAATATAAAGGAAAGAAGGGGGTATATTTTTTTCGCTACCCGCCTATTAGAAGGCTGTTTTAAGGGTTGGGGTCTTGGGGATGAAGCTTTGTACCTCTTCCGTCCTGAAATGAAAATCCCATTTGCCTTTTGGAAACATTTTTCGTAGGTAAATAAAAATAAATAAATAAATATAGTAGGGTTTGGTTGATTGAAACTTTAAAAGTGAATATACAAACAAGATTTAGTAGTGTTTGGCTGATTAAAATTGAATAGAAAAACAATTGCAATTTGGTTGATTAAAACAAAATGATAAGAATAAAATAAAGGTTAACAGTAAAATGAAACTTTTATTTACAATCAAGATTTTTGGTGAGATGAGACTTTTATGTGGGGATGGAGTACACTTAACCTTCTAGTCCCCATTTCTTTAATTGTGAAGTTCCATAATACTACTTCTGTCCCATTATTGAGTGCCTGTTTTTCTAATTGAGTATCCCAAAATTAATTGCCTATTTCTTTTCATGTATAATTACCTACAATCCCTACTTTATACCTTTTAACATACTAAACTTTCCTAAATACCCTTTAAAATTGGTGGCTACATGTACTTCACACATGCTTTTTCATTATTATTTCCACTAATAAATAAAATATTGTACTCTATATAATTATTCCCAATGTACTTCAAACATGCTTTTAATACTTCATTTGCATTAAAACCCGCAAAATATGAGAAACGGGCATTTAGTAGTATCTTAAAAATGACAATTTAGACTTATGGATTGGTTATCAGATCCTCTGTTGAGTCAATTTGCTCATAAATGTGTCGGAAATTTATTGAAAATGAAGAATGATTGCACAAAACTTGATTTAGTTAAAATGATTCGAATCATTCGATGTTTTATGAGTTCAGTGGGCTTGCTTTGATTTCTCTCCTGATGTGTTGGTTCCTTGTTTGAATTGTTTGACTTTTTAATTATCTGAGATTATAAGGTTATTTGTTTGTTCAGTGTGGTTCAGAAGAAAATTTGAATTCTATAGAGTTTTTATTATTTTCCTTTTATTCTTATTATTATTGTTTTGTTGGTAATTAGTTTATGAGATGAAGTATTGAATTTCCTTCTATTGTGTATTTTATGAATCTGTCGATAACAAACTAGAAAGTGATTTGCTTATCTAATCTAATCCTGTCATCTTGGCAATCAGCTTCCTGTTTACGTTTCCACGTAGCCCATATCTTTACTTTTTATCTTTTAATTTTAATTCTATCAGGAACGCGAGATACCTAAAGATGAGCCACGGCTGCTTAAAGTAATCGAGATCCTAGATAATTATCAAGCAAGATTTAATTCGCGCTCTTGAATGCCATCAAAGCTGTGAGATTAATTTAGAAGGATTAATCTTTTGACAATCACATTGTTGCTGCTCTGTTAGTTTGGATTACTGACTAACTATGTTGTTTGAGTGGTGAAAGGCTTACTGGTTATAGTGGTTTTGCATAATAGGTACAGCTTTGGCTGTAATCAAAATTCTTGCTAATCCTCTCATTTTCTTAAACTGTTACTACTTAAGATTGAATTTTTGGATTTTTGTTTTTGTAACAAATGAACCCTAGGATTAAAGTGACAAATTATAGCTGTAAAAGTTATATAGCTAGCTAAATTCTACAATTATATGTTCTTTGGGTTTCAATTATATATTCTTTTACTATACATGGCATGTTCATTTGATTATGAAGTAAAACGACTTTGTATGTTTCTTTGTACGCGTGCAAAAATGTCCACTTGGCACACAAAATATATATATATATATATATATATATATATATATATATATATATATATATATATATATATATATATATATATATAACACGCCCTATTGCCGCAAATGCTTGTCAAAAAGCGTTTGTCACTAATCGTGTAGGAGATTTTGGCTTATTATTAGGAATTTTAGGTTTTTATTGGATAACAGGCAGTTTCGAGTTTCGAGATTTGTTTGAAATATTTAAAAATTTAATTAATAATAACGAGGTGAATTCCTTATTTTGTATTTTATGTGCTTTCTTGTTATTTGCCGGTGCAGTTGCTAAATCGGCCCAATTTCCCCTTCATGTATGGTTACCTGATGCTATGGAGGGGCCTACTCCTATTTCAGCTCTCATCCATGCTGCTACCATGGTCGCCGCGGGAATTTTTTTAGTTGCTCGACTGCTGCCTCTTTTCCTAATTCTACCTTCCATAATGTAATATATATATATATATATATATATATAATGTAAACGAACTTTTTTGAATGCCAGTATTAATGATAAAACATATTAGTTGTAACTTTGAACTTTTCACGTCTCACAAATAATACCCTAAAGTTGCAACTAGTATGTAATGGAGAAAGACCCTGTTTTTTTTGCTCTGCTCTATTCTGCTCTTGTTGAAATCTGCTTTGTTGAAATCTGCTCTTCTCTGCCTTGCTCTGCTCTACCCTGCTAAAAAATAATAATTACTATTTAATAATAATAAGAATTATTATTAATATTTAATAATAATAACAATTATTATTAATATTTAATAATAATAACTAATATTTATAGATAATAATAATTAATATTTAATAATAATTATAATTAATTGATAATAATAACTAATATTTAATTATAATAATTAATATTTTATATTATTTAACACATTTTTAATGTTATAAAAAGAGTAAAAAAATCTATAAAAAAACAAATAATAATAATAATAATAATAATAATAATAATAATAATAATAATAATAATAATAATAAATCCTCTCGTTTATGGGTGATTAGGGCTGGCAGCAAGTGGGTTTCCACAGTCCTTTCCGGCGGCTTTTCCGGCACTATTCTTCAGGCGTTGGCGAACGTTTCTCTCTGTTCTGGTCAGGTGTCTTTTCCGGCAGTTTCCACGTCTCTTTTCCGGTAGTTTTTGGGTGCAGTTTCATCTTCTTTTTGGTGCATTTTCGGGCTTAATTTCGTGCAGTTCAGGCTTAATTGGTGCGTCTTTCTCCGGTGGTTTTTCAGGTTTGTTCTTGGGTTAGCAGTTAGTCATATTTAGGGGGGTTTTTGGGCGATTTTCAGGCGAAGTTCAGGCGAATTTTCAGGGCGAATTGGTGCATAATTGAGGCGGTTTTTGGGCTGTTCGCAGGCGTTCGGCAGGCGGTTCGAGGGGTGGTTTCAGGCAGTTTGCAGCAGGTTCTGGCGGAAGTTTCTGATTTCAGGTGGGTTGGGTCAGTTTTGCGGCATAATTGCGGCAGTTGCTGGGCGTTTTGGTGGTGGTTAAGGTTCAGTTTTGGTTCGATTTATGGCTAGTTGTTCTGGTTTTGGGCAAGTTTTTCTGGTTTTGTGTGGTGGTAGCTTGTTTGCACGTGTGTAGCTATGTCGGCTGTTCGGGTGAAGTTTCATTGCCCCTTTGTGGGTCTTAGTGGTTGTCAAGATGGAAGTGGCAACGGTCTTACTAAAAGTTCTCTTATCAAGCATCTTTATGATCGTCATTTTTGTATTGGTGCGCGGGATATCACACGACATTCTATTTCTTCTAATTTGGCCGTTTATACTGAGGCTGAAGTTACTTTTTCGCGTATGGGGATTTGGTTATGTGGGGTTTGCTACAAAACGCATACGCATCGTACTAAGTGTCGTCATAGTCCGAGTGAGATTGTGTCACCCCCGGATGAAGGGGATGGTATTGTTCGTTTTGTGCTTCATGGTTTCTCCAAGCCGCAATCTCCCTCTTCTCCGGCTTAGCTTGGGCGCATAGGTGGTTTGGTGCATGATCATCCTTGTGGTTTTGATGTGGCTCTCCTTGATTGTTTGTTCTCCAAGGGGGTCCGGACTGTAAAATCTATACCTCCCAAGTGTCGTTTGGGGTTTTCTCGGGTTCTGAAAGGTGCCCTTGATAAGGTGATTTCTAGGCCTGATAACATTTCTAGTTGGGTTTCTTTGTTGGTGTTACCTCTTTGCACCCTTAAAACCTTTCGCCCTCGGAGCAGCTCCGAGTGTAGGTCTTCGGTAAAATGTCGGCATCAAGAGGAGAGTGTTTCTCGTGCTATTTGTTCTTGGAGTGCACCAGGTGGTAATTTGCAGCTTGTGAGGGATGCTTTGGCAGAGGATTCTCCTTCTTTATCAGTGGTTGGTGATGAGGGCCTTGATTTGGAGGAGCGTAATATCAAGCAATGTCGTAGGAAGATTTGTGACGGCCATTACACTGCTGCAGTTCGGGTTCTTTCTTCTTCAGGCGTTGCTCCTTATAATGATGATACTCTCGCGGATTTACAGTCTAAACACCCTACTTCTCCAGCTCCATCCTTGCCTGATATACCTGTTGATGGCCTTTATCTCGTTACTATTTCTGATGTTGTTTTGGATCGGATTAAGAGTTTTCCACGTGGCACATCATGTGGTAGGGACGGTTTACGTGCTCAGCACCTTATGGATTGCTTGAGTGGTGCTGCTGTGGCTGTATTAGATGAGTTAGTTGACTCTATTTCTGGGGTGGTTAATCTCTTTCTAGCTGGTAAGTGTCCTATGGAGCTAGGAGGGTATATTGCTAGTGCTCCTCTTACACCACTTGTCAAGCCTGGTGGTGGTATATGTCCCATAGCTGTGGGTACTGTTTGGCGGCGTCTGGTTTCGAAGGTCAGTGCTGTTATGGTTGGTCAGTCTTTAGGAAGCTACTTTGATGGTCTCCAATTTGGTGTTGGAGTTTCTTCGGGAGGTGAGGCGATTCTTCATGCTGTGAATCAGTTGATTGAGGATCGTGGTTCCGATATGGGTCTTTCTATGTTATTGGTGGATTTTCAAAATGCCTTCAATCTAGTTGATCGTGCGGTCATGTTACGTGAAGTTCGTCGTCGTTGCCCGGGCCTTTCGCGATGGGTAGAATTTTGCTACTCTAACCTAGCTAGATTGTATTACGGGGACCACACCTTATGGTCGTCTTAGGGAGTGCAGCAGGGTGATCCCCTTGGTCCCCTGCTATTTGCTTTGGTTTTACAGCCCCTAGTGTGTAAAATCAGAGACACTTTTTAAGTATGTCTTCAGGCTTGGTATTTGGATGACGGTACTGTGATTGGTGACACGTTGGTGGTAGGGAAGGTTCTGAAGTTGATTATGGAGGACGGGCCTCGTTTTGGGTTGTATCTTAACGTGGAAAAAACTGAAGTTTTCTGGCCTACAGAAGACCCTCGTAGCAGGCTTGTGGGTGTCTTTCCGCTTAATATTGCTCGACCCTTGCGTGGTGTTAAGCTGCTTGGTGGTCCCGCTAGTTCCGATTTCGATTTTGGAGGTGAGCTTGTGATGCAGAGGGTGACCAAGACCATTGCGCTTATGGATAGGGTTGCTAAGCTAGATGATCCTCAATACGAGCTGTTGTTGCTTAGGGCTTGTACCGGAGTTTCTAAGCTATACTTTGCATTGCGTACTTGTCCTCCTAGTACCTTTGCGACGGCTCAGCGCACATTCGATGGGGCTCTTAGATCTTCATTGGAGCGTATTGTTACTGCTTCAGGGCATGGGTTTGGCGATTGGCAGTGGCGGCTTGCCACCTTGCCTTTTGCGTATGGCGAGCTTGGTGTTTATTCCGCAGGTGATGTTCTTCATTATGCTTTTTTTGCTTCCCGGTTACAGTCTGCTGGGTTGCAGACAAGGCTTCTACGGCATGCTGGTGTTGTTGGCCTTAGTCGGGCTTTTGAGGATGCGTTGAGCTTGTTCAATAGTACGATGGAGTCTGACATTTTGTGTAATCCTAGTGAGGTTGCTGCCCCTAAACTCATGAAGAAATTGGCAGATATATATTTCACAAAGGTTACCGCTTCTGCAGAATCCACCTTTTCTTTGTCTCCTCGGCAATCGGCATTGTGGAAATCGCAGCAGGGAGATCACTCCTCTTCTTGGCTTCGGGCGGTCCCTATTTCTGGGTTAGGTCAGACGATGAACGCAAAGACCTACCGATGTGTGTTGTGCTGCCGGATGGGTGTTCCATTGTTTTCTATATCGGCGCCATGCTCTACTTGTTCTCGAGTTTTTACTGGGGATGTTTTCGGTGATCACGCGGTGTCGTGTGCTGGTATGGTCAGTATTAAACATCGGCATAATGTTATCCGGGATACCCTTGTTGATATTTGCTACAGATCTGGGATTTCAGCAAGAAAGGAGGTTGACATAGGGTTGTCCGGAGGGAATGATGGGGCCCTCAGACCTGCTGATGTGTTACTTTATTCCTGGGATCGTGGTCGTGATGTTTGTGTGGACCTCACTAGGTCTTCTCCTTTGACATAGACAGGGCTATCTGGCTTTGTTCCTGGACGAGTTGTGGCTGATGCGGCTCATCGTAAGCGAGAGAAGTATGAAGCTAGTTGTCGGCAAATTGGATATGGTTTTATTCCCTTCTCCTTTTCTTCGCTAGGAGAATTAGAGAAGGAGGCTGTTGCGTTGTTGAAGCGGGTTCAGAGGTTCTCGGCGACGCAAGACATTGGGGCTCGTGCTGCAGCTCATATCTTTACTAGGGTAGGCTTTGCTATAGCTAGAGGAGTGGGGGCCCAGATTGAATCTCGGCTTCCCACTAATTTATTGTAGGCTGTATGACTTAGTCTATTTTTGAGTTATATTAATAATAATAATAATAATAATAATAATAATAATAAAATAATGCGATAATAATAACAATTATAATTATAATAATAATAACAATAAT